GGGAGAAAGGTGGGGTGGGGAAGATAAAAGGAGGAGAGAAAGATGCAGTGGAAGGTGGGGGAAAGAGAGGGGGTGAGTAAGAGGAGAGAGGAGAGGTAGGGAGAGTGGGTTAGTAGAGGGAGAGGGGAGAAGGGAGTGATACCTGGCCCTTGGTGTCTCCAAGGGCACAAGGTACACCAAGACCAGGAGGGTCTTGGTCTTTGCTGCAGCGGCCAATTGGAGGAGAGAGGGGGATGAGATCTTGATCAGCCCCCAGCAACACTCCTTCAGATGTGTAGATGTAGGGTCTGCTGTGTGAGCAGGCCCTCCGCACTGTAGAGCAGCCCCCTAAGCAGGGGGGGTCTTCAGCCACGTGCACAGACAGCAGTAGCCACTTGGGGCCCAAATAGCGACTTCGCTGCTCTGCTCGCTGCCGCCGGGGAGGGGGGGGGGGGKAAATAGCCAGCACGGCACCTCTTCAACACGAGTGTGCCGTGCTACAAAGCCATGGACACACTGTGGCGAGTGTGTTATGAGGCTGCTTACGCACGCGCATGGCTCCGGCAGTGCCTGGGTTCAAACCCCTACAGCAGCAATTGCATCCCGGATTTTGATAATATAAATCCGGGAGCGGGGCGGGGCAGCGGGCAGTGTGGCGCGCGCGCGTGCGGCGGCCTTGGCCTTGGAGCTCTCCTGCCGCAACACCTTTCCCGTCATTTTTCCCGCTTTTTTTGCCCGAAAACGCCCCAAAAACAGCCAAAACCCGACTGTCGGGTTTTGCAGTATTTCGCTGTTGTGCGGTGTGGTGGGTGGGGGTGGGGACCGTTCCCGCTCTGATACCAATGTAGCGGACCCACCAGGTGTGGTGCTACGCTAGTGACAGAGATGGAGATGGAGGAAGCAGGGGGAGCAAGATGGCACAACGCAGCTCCCCACGCAAGACTCCAACGCACGTACTCCAAAATGTGCAAGTGAGGAATGAGACTGAAAACAGACAATGGCTGGGGTATACCCCAGCGGACTGACGGGACTGGACTGGACTGGCTGGTACCGACAGAGGTACCGGCCTGGGCTGGCCTACCCCGAATGTAACATAGGCCTGTGAGAACAGGCCAAGGGGCTGGTCTCACAGGCCAACCCGAGGTCCGCTACAGCCCTCTTCAGTTGTCTTCAGTGATCAACAAGTGACCTTTTAGTGCTCTACCTGTCTCGCCTCTCCTATTGGGGGAACTTTGAAAAGTAATTTCGTTCAAGTGAAATGATACTGTTTCTTAAGTGAATTCAAATGCTGGTCAAAACAGTTCACTCTTGCGTCTTTTATTATTCCCTAGGCCCCCTCCGTTGGGATCAGGGACGATTCGCTGTGCTGCCGCAACACACGGGTGGGTGGCCAGATCGATGAGTAGGGGATAAAATGTTAACCGGCGCAATCTGATGTCATTTCAATCCTCGGCCCTATCTTAGGAGAGAGTATCCACACATTAATTAAGGGGTTTAATTTCCTGTCATTTTGCCAAGCCCCTCGAACCCTTTGATTTCGACTTAGTTAACAGGACTCGGATCTGAATGCATATCCTCTTCTTCTAGGTTCGCCAGTTCAAACAGGGAACAAAATGCAAATCCTTCAGAGAGCTTGTTCTCAGTCAGTCTGAGACTCAATCATAGGCTCGATTCCCAAATAGCTTGACGGCCAATACACAGTTTGAAATTCAATTAGTCCAAATGCGTCAAGCCACATAGTTAATTGCTCTCACTCCGCCGCAGAGGTGGGCAAATTTTTTTTTTCCTCACCCTCGACCCAACCCGCCCAAATTTTTTTTTTCCCCATCCACCCGGCCCAAGAATTTTATTTTTCACTCTTAGACAACCCCACCCACCCAAAATATTTTTTGATATTTCAGCCCCACGCCCAATCCGCCTGTGACCCGAAAAAAGCCCTCACCCGCCCGCGTCCAATACCTAAATTTTCTTCACCCGCACCCACCCGCATCAGCCCGTGCCTGTCCATGCCAGTCCCTTACACCATCGCGATTTCATCGGCAACATAGCGTTGCAACAAAGACATCTAAAATCCTATTATTAAAACAATGGCAACATCAATGCAATCAGACTCGTCTTCTTTTCCACTTCGCATACATGGAAACAAACGGCGATTCACACTGGCGCAGAGCGCCCACTCAAAGCTCAGAGATATGGACAACGAGAACACAGTTCAGTTGCAAATTCACTTCAACAGGCTATGGCGCACCAGCGCCTGTACATCCCACTCTCGTCACTGTGTCCGACACCACTACTTGCACATGCTCACTCTGGATCACCCTGAATACTCCACACACGCACACTCTATCAGGTACCTCTACCCTATGGCGGCTATGGCAGCTCGCCACTACTACTATGGCTATGATCTCTCTTCAGCCCACTTCCTCTTCGGGCAACCTGCAGACCACCTTCGCACAAGACGTTGTGGCAGCGCTTTCGCATGGCTTATGCAGTGAATGAATGAATGGCTGGGCGCTGCCTCTTGATTTATACTTCTATAACTCGTTGGTTTGCCCCTTTCCCGGGCCCTTGGTGCACACAGTCTCACACGGTACTTGCTTGACTAGACTCTGACTGACTGGGACCGGTGCTGCTGACTGCATGAGTCTGGACTGCCAACTCTATGCAGTCGCACTGCCGATGTAACAAAGTTGGCTCACCACTTGCCCACTTGCCTCTGACTAAAGGCCCACCACTTGCCCACTTACCTTTGACTAAACTTGGGACACTTCGAAAAGCCACTTCCGGACCTTCCGGAAGGCTGTGGACTTGGCCTTTCGGGTACTGTAGCAGCTACGAACTTTACCTTTTAGGACTGTAGCAGCTACGACCTTTACTTTTTAGGACTGTAGCAGCTACGACCTTGACCTTTCAGAGCATCTACAGCCACGACCTTTACAGAGCTGTGACTCCTAATCGACAGACCTACATATCAAACCCCTACCACTACACGGACCTACGACAGACGACAAACAACTACCAAAACACAGATCACGGGTTCAAACACTCAGGGGTCGACTAGGTACTGTACATGGGCAAAGTGAGGTCTGGGGATCGAACTCTAGGGCCCGTATCCGTGCCTGCTGAAAGGTGAAAACCGTTTCATCAACAATGTGACTCGAACTTCTCAAAGGAAAATATTTCAAGATTTTTTTTTTTGGCCCAGGGGCAGCTGCACTGCTTTCGCACCGGCGTTACGTCATCGGGACCTGGTCAACTGAATCAAACACTTTTTTCTTTGGCTCTCAACCTCAAGCCCGACGTACTACACGAGGGGGAGGGGGCATAATTTTTGGGTCATCCTGGGTCTGTGGGTTGGGTGACCCAGGCCAAGCCATCACCCGCCACCCACCCAGCGGGTGACCCAGGTCAAATCTTCACCCGTCCGTCACCCAGAAGGGCATGCTGGCTGCGCCCGCCCATAACCCACCCAAGACAGCTCATGTAGACCTAAATCCGACCCATCACCCTGTGGGTCGGGTGGGTGCAGGTGGGTGCAGCTCTGGGCGCCCTGTGCCCAGCTCTGCTCGCCGCATTAATCCCTAGTCTGCGCACACTTGCTCCATGCAGAACACGCACAAATCATGCACAAACTCTTTATTCAGAGTTAAATTCACTGGCACAGTCCAAAAAATCTGCTCGAAGCTGATTTCACGAGCCCCACTTCAGAAGTCCATCCCCAGGCGACCAATCACCAGTAAATATCTAAATAGATCTCGTGCCCAAGCCATAACAGGAGGAGTGATTAGCAAGCCACTCAGCAAGCTCGGTTCAGATCAGCCGATCTGAGTGCCAATTTGGTTTGAGCACTTTTTGAACAATCAAAGAGTTCGAATTCTAAAAGGGCAGTGTCCAATTATCAGACCTGGAAAAACACGATTGAGAAGATTCCGACTGCTCAGTTCAACTAGACCCTTCCCCGTGTTCACACTGTCATTGTCGTTATTCATTGAGGCTTTCTTAGCCCAAATGCTGCAATCGAGCGGGCTTAACAATTATCATGCGTCTGTCACGCCGTTGAACCGTTGACTTTTTCCTTTGCCCTTCTCTAGCGTGCTCTCGCCTTCACGCACAGTCACACACCCCTCCCCTAATGGTCTTTCAAAATTTGACTTAAACGAAATGCAGGAGCAGCAACAAGGGAACTGTTTCTCTTTGCACTACTCATTCCCCTCTCCCTTTTACCCGTTTTTTCACCCGATCTCACTCTCAAGCCCCCTCTCAACTCCTCAGGTCACAAGGGTTTTTCACTTCTTACGCGTCACCGTTCCTCTCTCTATCTCTTCTCTCTCTCTCTCTCTCTTTCTCTCTCTCTTTCGGGTTCAGGCCTCTCTTTTCCTTGATTTCAGTACGCGAAAAAGGGGTTCTCTTTCTCTCGTTCACAGTCGGCGCGATCAATCAATCTTGGCCTCCCCTACCTCTTTTACCCTTCATTCGCTCACTTGCTCCCTCCCCCTCTCAACTAGCTACCTCTCTTGTACTAGTTCGCCCGCCCAGACCCGTATATTTTGGCAACCCATCTCTACCCGCACAGAACCTTCGGTTGTGTGCACGCTCCTGCCCCACCCCTTCTTTCAGTTCGAGTTCCAATGCTACCTTAGTATTCCGCAGACTTACCTCTTGTTTTCTGTGCTCGCATTCTCACCGGTTTGCGGTCGTACAGATCGTCATGGAAACTGCACTAGCAAGTCCCCATCAAGTTCGGAATTCCCCTCGGAACAAGTCGGCCCCTCTCACATCATGCACACCTAATCACCATACAACAATCGCCCGTGGTACGTCGAAGCAATTCCCAACCGCTATGCGTACCAACCAACAGCACGCCTACAGAAGAGAGGCCCACGAAGGCTCCCACTCGAAATTGGCTCATACGTGACCCTGTGTTACATGCTGTATAGGCCCCAACCTATTTCCCTACAGGGAAACTTCCAGGCTCTTGCCTAGAAGCTTCCTTCTGACATGGCCTACAGGCCCCAGCCTGTTTCCCTACAGGGAAACTTCCAGGCTCTTGCGTGGAAGCTTCCTTCTGACAGGGCCTACAGGCCCCAGCCTGTTTCCCTACAGGGAAACTTCCAGGCTCTTGCCTGGAAGCTTCCGCAGGGTCTAGGCCAGGGAGGCATTGGCAAGAGCGGCCTCCTACGCATAGGGCATTGGCACGACCAGCCTCCTGCACGGGCCAGCACTATAAAGGACTGGCCCGCCCTACAGGAGGAAAGGCAGTTCGGCAGTTGT